CTCGAACTTGAAGTAGAGTTATCCCTTAGTCTTTATAGTCGAGTGAGGATTTGCTCGAACTCTAAATATAGCTAGCCCTTAGGCTTTATAGTCGAGAGAGGTTTTGCTCGAACTCGAAATAGAGTTAGGCCTCAGGCTTTATAGATAGTCCCCAAGTGAGAGTTTGCTCGAAATTGGGTTAAGATAGCCCTTAGGCTTTATAGTCGAGTGAAGATTTGCTCGAACTCGAAATAGAGTTAAGCCTTAGGCTTTATAGATAGTCCTCGAGTGAGAGTTTGCTCGAACTTGGGTTAAGATAGCCCTTGGGCTTTATAGTCGAGTGAGGATTTACTCGAACTCGAAATAGATTTAGCCCTTAGGTTTTATAGTCGAGTGAGGTTTTGCTCGAACTCTAAATAGAGTTAGCCCTTAGGCTTTATAGTCGAGTGAGGTTTTTCTCAAACTCGAAATAGAGTTACCCTTAGGCTTTATAGATATATAGTCCCCGAATGAGAGTTTTCTCGAACTTGGGTTAAGATAGCCCTTGGGCTTTATAGTCGAGTGAGGATTTGCTCGAACTCGAAATAGAGTTAGCCCTTAGGTTTTATAGTCGAGTGAGGTTTTGCTCGAACTCTAAATATAGTTAGACCTTAGGCTTTATAGTTGAGTGAGGTTTTGCTCAAACTCGAAATAGAGTTACCCTTAGGCTTTATAGATATATAGTCCCCGAGTGAGAGTTTGCTCGAATTTGGGTTAAGATAGCCGTTGGGCTTTATAGTCGAGAGAGGATTTGCTCGAACTCGAAATAGAGTTAGCCCTTAGGCTTTATAGATAGTCCCCAAGTGAGAGTTTGATCGAACTTGGGTTAAGATAGCCCTTGGGATTTATAGTCGAGTGAGGATTTGCTCGAACTCGAAATAGAGTTAGCCCTTAGGCTTTATAGTCGAGTGAGGTTTTGCTCGAACTCAAAATAGAGTTAGCCCTTAGGCTTTATAGTCGAGTGACGTTTTGCTCGAACTCAAAAATAGAGTTAGCCCTTAGGCTTTATAGATAGTCCGTGAGTGAGAGTTTGCTCGAACTTGGGTTAAGATAGCCTTTGAGCTTTATAGTCGAGTGAGGACTTGCTCGAACTCGAAGTAGAAATAACCCTTAGGCCTTTGTATTTGTTACGGATTTCGGACATCTCCGATTCACGTTAATTTGGCCGTAGCCTCTTTAGTTCGGAACTTGCCCTTTGGGTTTATTTCTGCTTTACTTCGAGCTTGTCTGGAGTGTCAGTCCCCGAGTGGGGTGGTCGTGGCCTGTAAAATTGAGGGTTGCCTTTAAGGTCTTATGGTCTCGAAATTTTAGTAGTTAGATTTTGTTGGTTTTTCGGACGGCAGTCCTCAAGCATGGGGTTAGTTGTTTGAACTTCCATCATGATCGGCCCTTAAGCCTGTTTACACAACAGATCAAGAGTATGAAATAGGAAATTTCTCTAAAGGCATGAGATATCGGAAAGGAAAAATACTTCTCTCAATAGATGATTATACATGCGCGCATGTTTGATGTTAGGGCTCGAGTAACCTATATGGACACGGTTCATCCGGCCGTTTGACCCTCACAACATTTTCCTATCGAGACCCCGCTGTCATGAAGTAATTTCCTTGCAATAAAGTAGACATTCGGGGGTAATGCCCCCCAGTACTCGAGGCTTATTATATGGAACCTCAGATACTGCTGAATTGCTCTAGGTTAGCACGAACAATGGTTGCCTCATTAAAAACCTTGCCGGAAAAACCCACTTGGGACAAAAACCGGTTAAAGGAAAAAAGAGTGCAACGCCTCGTGTCGATCCTTGCCGATAGTCTGCAAGTGTTAGTCGAAAAAAATAGAAAGGATGGGGTCGTACCTTTATTCGAATTTTGGATATTTAACGTGACGGCATCAAGCACCCGTGAATTTTGACCTCGACCATTTCTCCTCTCATTTCGTGCAAAGCTTGCTCAGACTCACTGCCTCTATGGTCTCCGTTGTACGGTTGATACGATCTCTATTCGACCTTGGCTCTCGATCGATGTCCCTTTTGATCCTATCCATGTGCCTGCTAGGATAAACGGGCCCCGAAGGAGTCCCAGTTGGTCATCCTCGACCCTGATCTTCGACTGATATCGATTATGTATGTCAGCCCAAGTGACAACCGGGTACTCGATTAAACTTTGCTTCAACTATTGTGAAGCTATGGAACTCCGAGTGTTGAGACCTTGAGTGAAAGCTTGAACAGCCAGTCATCGGTGACCGGAGGAAAATCCATTCTCTCCGCTTGGAACCGAGATACGAATTCCCTGAGCATCTCGTTATCTTTCTGCCTTGCCTTGAAAAGGTCCGACTTCCTCGTTATAATTTTAATGGCTTCGGCGTATGACTTTACAAAAGAATCTGAAAGCATAGCAAACAAATCAATAAAATTAGGGGGTAAGTTATGATACCATATTAAGGCACCCTTCGATAGATTCTCCTCGAACTTCTTCAGTAGTACGGATTCAATTTCGTCATCTCCAAGTCATTTCCTTTGATGACGCATATATACGAGGTGACGTGTTCATTCGGATCGATCGTCCCGTTATACTTGGGAATCTCGGGCATACGGAACTTCTTGGGGATTGGCTTCGGAGCCGCACCAGGGGGAAGGGCCTTTGCACGAACTTTTTAGGATCTAGTTCTTCCAATATCGGTGGTGCCCCCGAAATTTGATCAACTCGGGAGTTGTGCGCTTCTACCCTTTTGTCATTTTCCTCAATCTTCTTCTCTCCCGATTCAATTCGTCTGGTGAGCTCCTCGAGCATCTTCATTATTGTAGGGTTAGTCCCCGATTCATTGGTATTCGACCTTTCTAGCACTGGCTCGGTCCGGCGGGCGGCCTCTAGTTCAACCCCGCTCGGTGTTCGATGCTGATTTTGTAGCTGCGCAATGGCGGCATGTTGAGCCTGTAGCATCTCGAATATCATTTGGAGACTGATTCCTCCATCTCCTCCGCCCTGTGAACCTCGACCACCAGATCAGCCTTCTTTACGTATACTCCCTTCGGGGTCCGCGCAAAGGTTCGCATTTAGAGGAATGTGTGAGCTACGTCGACTGGGTTGCCCTCGAGATCAGCCTGTGTCACCTCGACCCCTGGAGCGATTACATTGTCATTTTCTCCGTGGAATCCGAGGTCATTATTACCACATGTGGGTGTTGTTTGTGAGTTTGACATATTTTATCCTGAAAACAAAAATACTTGACAAGAACAAGCGTAAAGTAGTGTGTGTTATCGAAATCAGTATTGAATAATCACTATTATTCTTAGCCCCACGATGGCCGCCAAACTGTTTACCCTCAAATTCGAGTAACAATTAAACTTATATTGTGACTTTAAGGATATGTGATTCAATCCAATACCAATTGATAAACAAGGAATTAAATAGATAAATTAGAGAGTAAATTAGATCAAACCAGTACGCTTAGCCAAATTTCGACCTCGACTTGTGATAGCCTCGAGGTGTGATAATAAATAGCAAATGATAAAGCAACTCTGATGAGCAGTAAGCAAAAATAGCAAGAAAGTAATGAATGTATATATTCTTCTCAGTGAATAATGATGATTACAAATGAATGGGATCCCTCTTTGTATAATAGAGGGGTTCTAAATAAGGTACACTCCTAATTATAGTAGGAAACCGTATTAACATCTGATTAACCGTCGTAGATTGATCCGTTCCTTGATTCACGCCACGGCCCTCGACTAATCGCGGATATCTCGCCTTTTAAGTTATCAAGCTATACCGCTGTTACTCGGAGTCTATCTCTTTCTGGCCTCGATTGATGTCGACCTCGGTCCAAAAAGAGGCTTCAATTCCAGACTCTACGCCCCAGCTCTTTGACGCGACATTCCTATCTCGACCAAAGGGCGAATCGAGTAGCCCCGATTTCTACCGTATATAAAATTAAGAGTCCGTTTGTACATAAAAAATATTCACTTTTTTCCGAAATTTTTTTACTTTTTTTTCAAAATTAGTGTTTGGCCATAAAATTTCCAATTTTTACTTGAAGATGAATTTTGAAATTTTTCAAAGATTTGAAAAACTCTGAAAAGTTGTTTTTCAAAATTTTCACTTAGATCACTCACAAAACTTCAAAAACAACCTAAAATTATATTCATATCCAAACACAACTCTAATGTTCAAATATCATTTTAACTTGAATTTTTTTTTCGCTTTTTTGGAATTTTACAATTCTCATGTCCAAACGCCCACTAAAAATTCATCCGAATACTTTTAAATACGAATTTTAGGCTACTGAATTGACGAGTCAAAATTATAAGACTCGCCTCAGAAAAGATCATATGGTAATATGCTAATCACAACGAAGTCCATGTCATTTTCTGAGTTGAATACTGATGAAGATCGGATATTAGCTCGATTGAAAAGAGAGAAGAGAAATGAACCAGAAGGTTCTAGAACAAAGGCTCCATTGGAGAGCAAAATGAGCTAAAAATTATTCTCTCTGATCTAACTGAATACAATGACATCTATATAGTATATATACACTATGACTAACAGCTGACTAATCAATCTTACTGCTTTTGCTAATTCACTAACAACCAATCCCATAATTAGTTATAACTAACTTCCTAACTAACCCACTGGCTCACGTGATAGTCACGGGTTGCTGCTTCTTTCTTCAATACTCCCCCTTAAGCTAGGTGGTGCAAATCGATTGAGCACTATTAGCTTGCTCATCAAGTACTCATGTTCTGATCTCCCCAGTGCCTTTCTGAACAGATCTGCTTCTTGATCCTTAGACATCACATACTTGGTTCTAATTATCCCTTGTTGAATCCTTTCTCCGATGAAGTGTAGGTCTATCTCTATGTGCTTTGTACGCTCATGAAATATGGGATTTGCAGCAATTTGAATTGCTGCTTTGCTGTCACAGTGGAGCTCCACTAGCAATTCAACTTCTGCACCCAACTCTTTACAAAGTCCTGTCAACCATAACATTTATGCAACTCCTGCTGCCATGATCCTGTATTCTGCCTCTGTTGAGCTCCTCGAGATTGTGCATTGCTTCTTGGATTTCCATGACACTAATGAATCTCCCAATTTCATCACATATCCTTTTACTGACCTTCTGGAAACTAGGCATGATGCCCAATCAGCATCACAAAAGGCTGTGAGCTTTGTGGACTGTTTAGAGCTCATTAGAAACCCCAGTCTTGGAGCATTTTTAATATATCTAACAACCCTGACTGCAGCTTCCATGTGAGATTCTTTGGACCATGCATGAACTGACTTAGTACTTGAACTGCATAGCATATATCTGGTCTAGTCATGGTGAGATATAGTACCTTCCCAACTAACCTCTTATATGGTCCCGAGTCTTCCAGCTTCTCATCTTCTTTCCAGTTCATATGTTGATCGTACTCCACAGTGGTGAATCTCTGTTTGCATTCCATTGGTGTGGTCACTGGTTTTGAACATGATAATCGAAGTTCAGCAATTAACTCCATTGCAAGCTTCCTTTGATTCATCAGTATTCCTTCTTTGGACTTTGCTATCTCAATCCCAAGGAAGAACTTCAATTCCCCCAAGTCTTTGATTTTGAAATTACCCTGCTGTCATGACCCGGATTTTCACACCTCCGGAAATCGTGATGGCGCCTAATCACGCCCAACTATGCCTTATAAAAAGGACAAAGCGGTCGTTGCAAATATATTTCGAGTATTTAGCCCAGAGTCGAATCCTACAGGGAATTAACCTACCAATTACTTTTGTCAGACTCACTGAATTCTCCGTAATCAACTTCCCAGATATTATGAATAACACTTAGTGATATTTCTACTAACTATAACTGAATAAAATTAAGTAAACTAAAAGCTAACTATGACTGAGTTGTAAACAAATAAGAGAAGGATCTAAGGTTGTGATTTCCCCTATTGATGGAATCCCTTCCTGTTATGTTTCGTATAGATTTGCCTAATCATCTCTATCGATCATGAGCACTCTTACTACCGCAAATCTCTCCCGAGTAATTACGACAATTTTCTAGACGCACTCTCTCGAGTTACGCTAGCTGGCTTTTATTACAGCTCACTTAGATCACACCCAAGGTTTCGTTATCCCTAATCCCACTTTTAAACCCTCGATTATTGATTCCTCATATACTTTGGGAGTGGTGTTGTTCAACAACTACCTGAATATGCACTCTCTCCGGAGTAATACATATTAAATAGGCACAGCTAATTGAGGATCATATCAATTAACTACAACAAGAACGTAGTTGAACAAATAGAGATTAAACTGGGCAAACTATATTAACACAACAAGAAGTTCATCCCTCAACAGGTTCCATCAAAACCTTAGACTAAATAATTAGCTACTCATAATTTTGTTCATAATAACAACAGCAAAATTCATCATGAATGATAAAAACAAAAGGAAGAAAGGTCAACACTCGATGTCGAATTATCCCCCTTGCCTCTTGCCTCTTCTTGCCTTCAACAAAACTATAAAAACCTTGATATCCCCTTTTTGGGCGAGCCGGACCTCTTATAGGTTAAGTGGAATTGCCCCCAAACTTCCAAGTTTACCCCTGAAATTTCCGCGTTTCGGAGTGACTAGCGCGGCCGCGCTCGAACCACGCTAGTGGCCGCGCAAATGGCCTTCTACACTGTCCCGTTTCTTCTGCTCTAGCGTGGCCGCACTAAGGCCGCGCTTGACCCACGCTAGAGTGGATCAGGTATTTATCTCTTCTTTTCTTTCTTCTTTCATACGTACTCAACTCCGAGGGGCTTTCCTTGCTTTAATTTAGCTCCAAACACTGTCCTAAGTCCTCATAAGCACGACTTGCTCCTGTAAAACATAAAATTCACAATTAGAGCCATTTTATCGTCATTTAACCTTCCTAGAACAGTGAAGCATAGTCAAGTTGGGGCATAAATAGTCTCCAAACTACATGAATCTAGCCTATTATCAACACCCCACACTTAAATCATTGCTAGTCCCCGAGCAATCCACCATACTCTACAAAGGTTCCTTCACTAAGCTTTTCCCTAACGTATCACACCAAGAACATATCACCAAAGTTGCATCTAGTAATGTAACATCTTTGCCTAAAGAGTCGACTCTCACGTGCCGTGCAATATTCATACTTACTCAAATTAATCTATACATAGGTCAAGACTTACCTTTCCTTCGTGAATCAAATGCCCTCACATTCCACAAGAGAGTAGTTCCACAAGTAATAACATTAAGAACAATTAGGAACTCAGATATAGAAAATTCACTCACTTTCATAGAGAACATTCATATGCCACAAAGATGCACCATAGGCTTGCCCGTAGTGTACTACTCTACTAATCGACCTCATTCAGTCTCAGGTCAATTAGGACTTCATTTGATTGTAATGTAGGCTACAAGACGGGTAGGATATATATGGATATAGTGACTAACCTCCCTAAGCACTTTTAATACAATCACTTTCGCATTCAGAACCATACTTATGTCAGACCAGACATTCCACCACACTTCTATTTATAATACCCCAAACTCCTTTAGGTAAAATTGTATCAAGTTACCACTTATCAAGGACCACATTTACTTATTTTCTTTTCTCTCTCTTTTTTTAATTGGCGCTTATTCTTCATTTCTCAAAACACTGCACTTTTTTTCTCTATTTCATTGGTTCCACTCAAAAAACCAAACCACCACCCCACACTTTAACTTTTGCATATTTCATAACCATTCAAGTGCTTATGGGAGGTAAAGGGGTTCAAACAGATGGGCCGTTCAAACAATTGGGTAAGGTTTGTAATGTGGTTGCCAAAGAAACAAGCTTATAGGCTCAACGTGGTTAACTACGATGTATCGCATTTAGGTGGGTCTACTTTATATATCTAGCTTAACAAAGAAATGCCTATATCACTTCTAAGACTGAATAAAGCTATTATTTCGCTTTGCAAACACACAGGGCAAGTTCTAGGCATCAAATGCAGAGCATAGAATACAATACGACTCACACACACATGGCACATGACTCACTCCAGATTGGCTTACCAAAACACTCTCGTTTGAGTACTCAAGTCAGTTACAAACATACAATTTAAGGCACTCTAACAAGAGTCAACAATTGATACTAAGCGTCACACTCTAGTGTCTACTGTGTTCAGGTGTAACAACGCTAAGGGATTCTCTTCCTATCTCAACTCATAGCCCATAAGTACCAAAGAAAAACTAGAAACAAAATAAACAAAAACTAACTACACCCGGTTCAAGCAAAACCCTTGGAAAAGAACCGCGGCCCAAAGAAAATCCAAAGGGGAGTTACTACACTACCTAAAATAGAAAATCTTTTTGGTATTTTCTTTAGACTTACTTCCCTCAAGAAAAATGTCTAGAAGATCAGTCATCAGGAAGAGTCCAACATATTTCTGGTTTTTTCTTTTAGTTTTTTTTTACGTCGACTTAGACCCTTAAGAACCCCGCCGAATGAGATCCATCGTCGGGACAAGTCGACTTACCTAATTCGGCTGCTACTCAAAGCCACAAAATAAAAGAAAACATAAAACAATCAAGTTCTTACATATATACACATACACCGAAGTATCCCCTACCCCACACTTAAAAGGAAGACATGTCCTCATGGCATACAAAATAAAGAATTGTGAGGTAAGGGAACTTACCTGATAGATCAATCCTGATAGGAGATGGTGCCAGGGTCAAGGTGACATGCCCGACCCAAACCACGCAACCAGCCCATGATTTTCTTTTTCGATTTTGCGTTCTGGGTGGCCAAAGCATCAACTCGCATCCCCAAGTCTGCGACAGTGGTACGCATTCCTGCCATCTCCTGCTCTAAGGCTGCTAATCGGGTAACCCGACCAACCCTAGATGGTCCTGCAGCTTCTGCAACCGACACTTGGGTGGGTGGCACGGCTCCCGCTTCCTCCTGCTCATCCTCTCCCTCCTCAGATGCATCTGAGTCATCACTATCATCACCACCAGGTGCCACAGGATCCTTTCCAGTAGTCACCTTATCAGCTTGAAACTTTGCGTCTCTCGGCACTATTCCATCCACACTCAAATTTTCCGGCACCTGGGCTGCCCGGCAAAGCCTAGTGACCAAGAAAGGGAAGAAGAAGCCATACCTCTTCACCGGACAACGTGTAAACATCTCCTCGTGAATAAGCTTGGCTACGTCAAAGTTATGACCATTTATAAAGCACCAAATTAATGCAGCTCGAGGGGCATTCACTTCCGTGGTGTTGGAGGACGGAAGCAGGCAGTTGTTTATGACATACAGCTAGCCCTTCCCTTCAAAGGTGAGTGCCGCTGAATGGAACTTCTCCCCATATTTCATCCACACAATTTCCTTGCAGGTACACAAATTGTTTCAAAGAATAGCTCCCAATGAGTGTATTTTCTGCCACTGCTTCATAAAAATCCTCCATTTTCGCCACAGGTGCGGACAACTGGTATATTCTCCGAATAGCCTCAACAGAGGCATCCACAGCCTTCTTGCGCACTGTTACTACACCATTCATATGTTCTAAAACGTTAGCATAGAACTCGCACATTCCCATCACATTCCCATCATCTGGTTCTTCAAAGAAGATTTGTAGCCCACGCCTGACCAGCTCATTGTACAAGTTGGGACAGCCATGGTGGAGCGACCCTATATCCATGCCCCTCTCCGGTATTGGTTTCTAAGAAGCCTTATCAGCAAAACGGTCCTGAGCAGCGGTGGAGACGAACCTGTTACTATCAAAAGGACGAGCAGGAGCTAAAGCGCGCGCCCTGGAAGATCCAGCTTGGCCGCTGGATGAAGCACCTGTTGTTCGATGTTTCCTGGAAGGTGCCATAGTACTTGAAAGAAGAATAGCATTAGCACAACACAAAAGATGTGACTCAACTGCGGTTACTCAGACTTTACCCGCACAATTGGTCACAATCACCATTGACACTCACTGTGGCATTTTAACAAACACGTTGTGGGCATCATTCACTGGAGCTCCCAATTAATCATGTTGTAACCCAATAACCACCACAATTGCCCCAAATTCACCCAATTAAGGTAAGAGATACAACTCCACAAATACCACCACCCACAAGCACTGTGTATACACTACAAATTTCTTCTAAGGAAAGAGAAGAAAAACTACTACATAATTAAGAATTTAAAAGAAAACCCAACAAAATTGGCAAAAAGAAAACCTTACCTGAAGTGGGAGTAGATTGTGAGAAGTGAAGAAGAAGAGTGGTGGGGATGGAATTGTCATTGAACTTTGGGGGGACTAGGGATAGGATTATTTAGGAATAGGAAAGGGGCGTGTTTGAGTGGAAGAGGGAGGGGACTTAGTCGTGGGGGAGAAGGTGGGTTTAAGGTGTGATAGGGTTGGGATAAACAAAATACGACAATTAAAATACAAAATAAGAAAATAAAAAAAAACTTAACTTATACAAAGTAGCAGGCGGGCAGTACTAGCGCGGTCCAAGCGCTGTCCGAGCGCGGCCGCGCTAGCAAAACGGAAGA